CTGGATTTGGAGGGGTCTCCTTTCATTCCAGCTTTGCTGCCATATCCAGCCACCCAAATCATGGGATTTTAGGATCTTCCTGCCCATCTGGATGTTCCAGCCCCTTCCCCACCATCCCTGGAAATTCTGGGAAAACCAGGCTGGATACAGGGAAAGCCACTTGGAACCATTCCTGATGTGACCCCATTTGCTGTAATCCTTTGAGCTGGACCTGGCAGTGCCTCTCACCCATGCCAAGGGTGGAGCTGTGTGAGGGACAGCTTGTCCAAGAGAGAGCTGGAGATGGTACAAAAGCTTTGCTAAAACCCCAAGCCACCCCATCCACTGCCTTCCCAAAGATGGCCGGGAGGAGGAGCTGATACCTCAGAGGGACCTCACAGGGGCAGAGGAAACTTCTGGAATCCAGCACAGGCTCCTGCAGCTGGGGAGGAACAACCCCAGCCACCAGGCTCTGTGGAGAGGAGTGACACTGAGTGCTCCTGACCAGCCCAGGGGGGTGAGGAGGGGATCCTGCCCCTGTGCCCAGCCTGTGAGGCACAGCTGGGATGCTGTGTCAGAACAGGAGGGACATGGAGCTCCTGGAACAGGCCTGGTGGGGGCTCTGAGGATGCTGAAGGGGCTGCAGCATCTCCTGGAGAGGAAAGGCTGAGGGAGCTGGGGCTGCTCAGCCTGGAGAGGAGCCCCAGCTGAGAGGGGGCTCAGCCCTGGGTGTAGGGAGGGGCAGGGCAGGGCCCAGGCTCTGCTCCAGCAATGGCACCAGAGCCACGGGCAGAGACTGAGCCCAGCAAGTGCCAAATGAACACAAAAATCTTCCTTGTACAGTGGCACAGGCTGCCCAGAGAGGGAGTGGAGTGTGTTCCTGGAGATGTTTCAGAGCTGTCTGGGCTGGCCCTGCCTGAGCAGGCAGCTGGAACTAGGTGAGCCCCTGAGGGCCCTTCCAGCTGAACCATTCTGTGGCTCTGGGCAGTCACTGCCTGAGCCTCTCAGGGAATGAAGCAGCTGAAGCAGGACCTTCCCCTATGATCCCACAGTAGCTGTGACTGCTGCCTGTGTTGTCTCTGAGGGGTTTTCAGTAACTCCCTAAATAACCTCCAGGATTTCAACACGGAAGTGGGACTGACAGGCTCGTAGGATGCAGGGTCTTCTTCCTTAAATCTGCTTGAGAACTGGGATATTTATCACCTTCCACTCAACAGACTGTCCAGACTCCCCAAACCCTGAAACATCATGGAGAGGTCGCAGGGTGACACCAGCAGTGCCCTGGGGTGGAGCATTTTTATAAATGCTCCAAATCCAGGAATCCCATCGTGTCCCGTCCAGCCAGAGTGTCCTGAGCAGGTTCAGGGGTTGCTGTGAGTCCGGCATCGTCCAGCACAGGCCTGCAGCCTTATCCATGCGAGCCCCTATTAAGATATATCAGATTACTCTGTTGTCCCTTATCGTTATATTCCCTACGCTGCATTTCATTCTGTGGACGAAACCTCAGCTTGTTTAAGAGACACGAGGGGTAGGACGAACGCAGCTTCCTGGAGGTTTCACGCTACTCATTTTTATGAGACTCCACCAAACGCTGCTGTGTGAGTGAAGCNAGGGATGGATGGGATATTGGGAATTGGGAATTGTTCCCTGGGAGGGTGGGCAGGCCCTGGCACAGGGTGCCCACCCTGGATCCCTGGCAGTGCCCAAGGCCAGGCTGGGCAGGGCTGGGAGCAGCCTGGGACAGTGGGAGGTGTCCCTGCCATGGCAGGGGTGGGATGGGTTGGGCTTTCTACTCTGGTCTTGCAGGGCACTGGATGGACTGGGAATTTCTCAGGGGAGAAGCACAGGCTGCCCAGACAGGTATAAATAAAATGGGTAGCACTGCACAGAAGTGAGAACTAACACAAAGCTCTGCTCCAAAGTGCAAGCGTTTCCCTGGGCTGGGTACCCTGAGTGTTTCTTTCCAGGAAATCTTGCATGGACTCCATGAGAATAGAAAAGCCAAATGCAAGGAAAGGCAAGGTTTGAGCAGTTCCCTCTGAGGAAAGAGCACCTGTCCTGGGGTGAGAGATGTATCCCTGGAGACCTTCTGCTGTACTCACACAGCTATTCCCATTTCTGTATCAGAGCTTTGTTCCAGGGTGGAGCAATGGCACTTTGGAATGGATCCTCTTTTCTGTTTCTGGACATGTTCCCTTGCTGTGGAGCCCTTTGTGTAGCTCTGGCTCTGACATCTGTATCCCCTGTGTCCAGCAAAAGGTGCTTCAGGAAATCCTCTGCCTCTACCAACCCTAAAATCCTAAAAGGTGAATAATTTCCAGCAGGATCAGTGGCCCAGGATGAAAGCAGACAGGTCTGCAGCTGTGCAGAGCCCACACTATGAGAGGCACCAACACTTCAGGCTGTGCCAGTGCTATGTGAAAGCCCATGGCTGGACTGAAAGGTGAAAATCCTCCCCAAAAACACCAAAAAAGGTGCAAAAAGAGCCTGAGAAGGGAGGCGGGCAGAGCCTGAGAAGGAACTCCTCCAACTGCAGGAGTTGCTGAGTGTGATGAAAGGAGACAAAAAGTCTTTGTCTGCACTGCACAGGGTTGCATGGCCACCTTATCTGCTCCTACATGTTCTGGAGTCTCTTACATAAGCACAGGATCTGCAATGTTCCATCCAGCAGGAGCAAAAATAGAGCTGTGCCTCCGCCTGCCATTGCTGCAGCGGGGGCGAGCAGGGGAGCAGCCCCTCCCTGCCACCCTGGCATCCTCCACACTGGCACCAAAGGTCTTTGGTGCCACAGGGTACCTCTCAGCTTTCCACTCAGAAATCCAAAAAGTGATCACTGGGCTTTCCAAACGAGGCAGCACATTTTTTCAGATCTCCCCTTGCCCAGATCCCCCCTGTTGAGCCCTTGCAGATGTGCAGCTGCTGCCTGTGGCACCATTCCATGCACACATCTGGGAATGCTGAGCACCCAAGTGCTCTGTAGGAAGGATTTGTGGTCTCATTCTTGCTTACTGCAGCTTCCAGTGCTCACCCTAGATACACACCTGCCTAAAACACTGGCTCAGGAAGATTCTGCCTGGGAATCAGGCCCAGCTCCATCTCCCAAGCTACTCCCCACATTTCTGGGACTCCTAGAGAGGAAATCAAAGCTTCCTCCCCACAGCACAGCATTGCCAGAGAAGATGGGAAGGACTCACCCAAGCAGAGAGTGTTTGGCATGTTTCTCCTCCAAGTTCTGCTGCAGGGAGCTGCCTGAGGCTCAAAGGAACATTTACAGTCCAAGGAAATGAAAACCTGCACCAGGATCTTTGAGGAGACCTGTGGAGAGTGACAGAACAGCCCTGGGGAAAATGAGGCATTTCATCAGCATTGACAAACAGCAGAAATAAAATGAGTGTGAAATGAGGGCTGCTGCCTGTGTGCTAGTCTGGCTGCCTGCAGCACACACGGGTGCTGGCTGGGCTGGGCTCTGAGCTGCTGATTTCATCACTGACACCTCTGCAGGCACCTTGAGAAGTGTCCTAGAATAAATCTTACGAAATTGACAGCAACATTATTATTTTTGAATCAGCCTTCTGTGAAGGAAGACTGAGATCAGCCATGGGGCTGGAGTTAGGAAGCTGGGTTTGAGCACCTGCCACACTCCTTCAGCCTCACTGCATCCCCTGTGTGGAAGAGTTTTCACAGTGACTCCTGTGAACCAGAGAGAAGCTTGATAAGAGGATCCATGTTTGCCCTGGAAGAATTTTCTACCAAGGTTGTTGACATAGAAACCAAGAAAGAAAGAAGGATAAAATAAGAGAAATCTGCAACTGTCTATTCCAATGAGCANAGGGGATGGAGCCAGGGGGGAGCAGGGATGGCAGGGGAGGGAGCTGGGGAGGGAGAGGGAGCAGGGATGGAGGGCAGGGAGCAGGGATGGCAGAGGGAGCAGGGATGGCAGGGGAGGGAGCAGAGGAGGGAGCAGGGATGGCAGGGGATGGAGCCAGGGGGGAGCAGGGATGGCAGGGATGGAGCAGGGATGGCAGGGGATGGAGCAGGGATGGCAGGGGATGGAGCCAGGGGGGAGCAGGGATGGCAGGGGAGGGAGCTGGGATGGAGCAGGGATGGCAGGGGAGGGGATGGAGCCCGGCTGCCCAGAGCTTTTACTCAGCTGCTGCAAAGCTGCTCATGGTTCTTAGCTCCCTGTAAGCCATGGGTCCTAACCCCTCTTGGTTCCTGCACGTTCAGCCAGGGCAGGAATTTAGCTCAAGGGATGTCAAGGCAGGATTTAGATGGTGTTGGATCTTTTTGTGGCTGCTGTGGTGTCCCAGGGAGCACTGCTGGGGGACACAGGCTCTGCAGGGAACTGGGGGAGATCCAGGAGCCCCTCTCACAGCTGGGCAGCTGGGGGTGGGTTAGAGAGGGGAGGCTGAACAAGGGGTTCAAAGAGTGCCTCAGAGCTGGCAGCTCCCCCTCAATCCCACTGCCAGGTGAAGGTGCAAGCAATGGATGCAACCTGACCCAAGGCAGCCACCACCTCCCTGGCACAGCATTCCTTCACAGAGCTCACACACGTGGGACTTGGCCATCAGCTGACAGAAAGCTTCAAGGACCCCAGGTTTTACCCCCAGAATCTCCTTGTGAGGCAGAGGAAGCTGCCTGGGAGCTGGGGCTCTGCACTGCCAGGCTCAGGGGGCACTGCCTGCCCTGCCCTGGGCACAGGGCTCATGCAGGGCCTCACACACTCACACCCAGGGCTGCTGTGTGTAAAGAGGGCAAGGTCAGGCTTAGTCCCACATCTGCCACCTCTGATCTGACCTGGAGCAGGAGATCAAGGTGTGGCAGCAGCTCCCCTGTGAGTGAGGGGAGACCCCAAACCATGGTGAGACCCACTGGCTGCCTCTGCTGGCAGAACTCCACAGTGGGTTTTTATACAAAACCATTTATCCTCACAGGCTTAGGTGAGGAGCTGAGGAGGTGGTGAGACAGGAGCTGTCCCTGGGAAATCATCCCTGATGCTCCAAGGGCTGGAGCCNTGCAGCCCAGCCCGGTGTTCGTGCCCAGGGCTCCCGGGCCGTGTCAGAGCGACTCTGGCGGGCTCGTTTTGTTGCCCGCAGCTGGATTTCCTTCAGCCCTTACCCATGGAGCGGTGTGGTGTGAGGAGAGAGAGCCGCGATGGAGCTGGAGCGATAGCGAGGAACTGCCAGTGCTGGAGGGAAGATTGCTACAAGGCTTGACTTCTTTCTTTCTTTCTTTCTCTCCTTTTTCTCTCTGATGATTGCAGCGAGCGCTCGCAGCACGGCCCTTTGTCACTTCCCGGGAAAACTCCGAAAGCAAAGCCCTCGTTCCGCTGCCAGCATCCTCCGTTACCCGCGCTGAAACCCCACAGGCCTCTCCTAATGCCATGGGGACGATGCCGTGAGGCCTGGTAAGGCTCGGCCATAGCCATGACAGAGCCGCACCGGGTGTCGTTCACCACTCTGCACGGGCCCCTGAGCAGCAGCTTCCTCAAGAGGTCTCGGAAGGACGAGGCAGAGCAGCCCCCGGAGGCGGAGCCGGCGGCCACGGCCGTGCGCATCACCCTGACCCTCTTCGAGCCCGACCACAAACGCTGCCCCGAGTTCTTCTACCCCGATCTCCTCAAGAGCTGTCGGGGGAAAGTAAAAGGGAGTTCTTCAGGTGACAAGGTGAGTGTCCCTGGGGGATCTGTGTGGATCTGTGCTGCAGCTGAACGTCTGCAGGGCTGTCTCAGTTGTGACAGCTGGGTCTGTGTTCGCTGAGAGTGCTGCGAGGTGGGAGGAGGGTGGGTGAACATTGACCCACAGGCTGGGGTGCTTGTTGTCAGGCCGTGCTGGGGCACTCCTTTGCCGTGCTGGAGTTTGGTGTTGTGCTGTGGCAGGTGTGGGATGTGATGCTCGTTCAGTGGCTCTAAAGTGAGTTTTGGTACCTGGGCAGCTGGCAGTGATGAGGAGCTGTTTTCCAAAGAGCACCAATGGAGATATGAATGAAAACTCCTGTTGCATCTAAAGTTGAGTTAGGAGTGTTTGTCTATGAAAAGAAACTTACTGGATTCTGTTCCTTTTACTGTTTGCCTTCAGGGCTGTTAGCAGTCATTTGATGTTTTATGCCGTTTAATTTTTGGGGTTTTTTTCTGCGGGTTGTGAGAAGCAGAGGCAGGTACAAAACGAGCTGGGAGAGCACCCAAACCACAGGGACACTGTCAGAATCCCAGCATAGTTTGGCTTGGTAAGGGCCTTAAAGCCCATCCCATCCCACCCCTGCCATGGCAGGGACACCTCCCACTGTCCCAGGCTGCTCCCAGCCCTGCCCAGCCTGGCCTTGAGCACTGCCAGGGATCCAGGGTGGGCACCCTGTGCCAGGGCCTGCCCACCCTCCCAGGGAACAATTCCCAATTCCCAATATCCCATCCAGCCCTGCCCTCTGGCAGTGGGAGCCATTCCCTGTGTCCTGTCCCTCCATCCCTTGTCCCCAGTCCCTCTGCAGCTCTCCTGGAGCCCCTTCAGGCCCTGGCAGGGGCTCTGAGGTGTCCCTGGAGCTTCTCCTCTCCAGGTGAGCACCCCAAGCTCTCCCAGCCTGGCTCCAGAGGGGCTCCAGCCCTTGGGGTGCCTCCATGGGCTCCCCTGGACTCTCTGCAGCAGCTCCAGGTCCTGCTGCTTTTTTGGGGTCTCACCTGAGGGGCACAATATCCCCCTCCTGCTGCCCCCAGCAGGGCTCAGCCCAGCCCAGGGGGGTTTCTGGGTGCTCACAGCCAGGGCAGCTCCAGCTCTCACCCTCCAACACCCCAAATCCTTCCCCCAGGGCTGCTCTAAATCCCTTCCTCTCCCAGTTTTGGCTGATCCCACAGGTTCCAGGTGCAGCTCCAGCATTTGGCTTGGCTGAACCTCATGAGGTTCCCATGGTCGCAGCTCTCCAGCCTGGCCAGGTCTCTCTGGATGCTCTCCCACCCCTCAGGTGTGTCAGCCACCCCACACAGCTGGGTGGCATTCCCTGGCATGCTGAGAGTGCCCTGATCACACTGTCCAGATCACTGATGATGTTTCTCAGGGGGATGTTTCTCAGCATTGTCCTAAAGGTTGATTTATCTGAGCTTCTGCCCAGCTGCTCCAGTCAGGATGGGTTTAATTCCTGCAGTTTTGGTGGCACTGTGACAGGACTGGCTGTCATTGTTTTACCCCTTTTGTTTCTGCAGAAGAAAGACCCAGCTGATCCCTTCAATGATGAGGAAAAGGAAAGGCACAAAGTGGAGGCTCTTGCTAGGAAGTTTGAAGAAAAATATGTAAGTGTTTTTTCTTTACATTATGTTATTCTTTGAGCTGGGCAGTGCTGTTCAGGTCTCAGTGCTTTTAATGCTCACTGGCTCTCGAGTTCCTGTTCTCCCCCAGTCCTTTATCCTGGCTGCCATGTGCTGCTTTTTATGTTCTTTTTCTGTCTTAAGGCTGCAAAAATAGTTCAGATTCATTCTTAAATCAGATGAGTCTGATTAAAGCAAATTACATGAACTGAAGTGAGCAGCAAATCACTTACTGTGATTGATAAAATTGAGTTTTCCTTAAGTAAAAACGGATTCCTAGGCCTTGTTGCTGTGGCAGGATGGAATGTTCAGAGTGTGAGCATGGGGCTGTGATGAGGACAGTGCTGCATGGATCTCTCTTACCTGTCCTTTCTGTTCTTCTTTTTGCATTATTTCTGTGGGTGACACTAAAACCACACTGTGCTTTTTATACCCTTTGGCACTTTGGAGCAGCAAGTTGTGTTGTTTTGTGGCACAGATTTGGCCCATGGGTCACCCTGGCACACTCTGTGTGTGTTTGATGCCTGCAGCACTGGGTCTGAACCTGCTGGAGCACTTAAGGAAGAGCAAGCCCTGTGGAAGAGAGCTCTGGCAGGATTGTTGGAGGGATGCAGGCCCAGTTCAGTGTGGAGTCTGGCTGGCAGTTTTTCATTTGGCTGCACTGTTCTGTTTCTCTGTGACAAGGCTTAAAACTGGATTTGCACACCCTGGGAGCGCAGTGCGATGGGAGCCAGCCCTGCTTTGCTTCTGCTGTAGCTTTTGTGTCCTGGAGCCCTGTGTCAGGGTGTCTGTGGGGTGCTGGGATGGAAGAGTGATCCCAGTGTCCATGTTTGTTGTTCAGGGTGGCAAGAGGCGCAGGAAGGACCGGATCCAGGATCTGATTGACATGGGCTATGGCTACGACGAGTCCGACTCCTTCATCGACAACTCGGAGGCTGTGAGTGCTGGGGGTGCTGGGGCTGGGAGGGCCTAAAGGAGGCTGAACCTGCTCTGGACTGAGCCACGAGGCTGCCAGGGCCAGGGAGGGAGAGCTCTGGGGCTGCTGGTGGGCATCCAGAGTGTTCCTGGGGAACCACAACCTCCTTGTGACCAGGGGCAGGGCTTGAGGACATGGCTGGAGCTGAGCCAGGGAGCTTTAGGTGGGATATCAGGAAAAGGTTCTTCCCCAGGAACCTTTAATCTTAACCAAGAACTTTAAATATTCTTTGTAATGTATTTTTTCCTGCGTGGTCAGGCACTGGAACAGCTTTCTCAGAGCCACAGCACCAAGCCTGTGTGAGCTCCAGAGCATTTGGACAACACTCTCAGGGATGCACAGTTGGGATTGTTGGGGTGTCTGTGCAGGACCAGGAGCTGGGCTCAATCTGATGGGTCCCTTCCAACCCAGCATGTTTTGTGATTCCATGAATCCCACTGCATCCTCCAAGCAGCTGAGCTGTGCAATGAAGTAAGCAGGTCCCAGTGGCAATGAAGTGTTGTCTGTTGTTTGCAGTATGATGAGCTGGTTCCTGCCTCTCTCACCACCAAGTATGGAGGCTTCTACATCAACTCAGGCACGCTGCAGTTCCGGCAGGCCTCTGAGTCTGAGGATGACTATGTCAAAGAGAAGAAGAAGAAGTGTCCCAAGGTCAGGAAGGAGCTTTCTCAATGATTCCCTTGTTACAGCTCAGAGCTTGCTGCATGAAAGTGTGTTAACATCCAGAGTGGGAGAGATTTCTGACTTGGTGTGGACAGAATAGGGATAGGCACTTGAAATCCCATTGTATCCTGACATTTCTGAGTAAAATGAAGCATGTCTGGCATGGATAAGGCTCTGGTGGGGTTACCTGGTTCCCAGAGCAGAGGTGACAGCAGCTCCCTGTCCCCCTGGAAGTCACAGCATTATGGGGGTGCTGTCAAATGCTGAAGGCAACACATGCCAGGACAGTGGTGAGGGATGCAGGGGGTTGGGTTAATGATCCTGTGTTTTCACATGCCTGGGAGAGGCCCCAGAGTGGCTCTGGGAGTGCTGGTGGTGTTGTGGGAAACTCTTTGATTGTGACTCGTTTTTAACCCTCTGCAGAAGCGGAAGTTGAAAGACGGGGGTGAAAAAATAAAGAAGAAGAAGAAGGATGATTCTTATGACAAGGAAAAGAAATCAAAGAAGTCCAAGTTTCCAAAAGCTGGGTAAGGAGGGGAGGAGGCAATTCTTGCTGTTCAGCACCTTGTTCCAGGGTTCCAGGTGGCTGCAGTAGGAACCTGTTGCAGTGTGGGGTGGCTTCAATGCACATTGCAAACACCAGCACATTTTCCAAACCCCTGTTGCTTCCCAAGTGGGAAAGAAAGGCAGGGGATGATCAGGGAAGGAGCACAGCTCCAGAGCAGCAGTGTGAGGGTCTCCACAGGGCAAAAAGAAGCACAGCTGGCTGCAGGAGTGGTGGTTTTGGAGCTCTGTTTAATGGGAACAGATCTGGAGAGGAGAGGGAAAGATAACAACTGTTGGGATGAAGCTGTGGGAGGAAAGGCAGGTGGGAAGGGCTCAGGGCTGCCAGGGAGGGAGAGGTTACAAGGCAGGCTGTGTCACTGCTCTCTCTGGGCAGTCCTTTGTACTCCTGCCCAAAGTATTTCTTGGATGAGTGCTCAGCTCTTTTATAGCTTTTGGGCTGTAAAATGGAATGGTTTTTCTTTTTGTTCTGAGTCATCTTGTGCTGTAGCTCTGTCCATGCTTTGATCTGCCTGGCCTGTCTCTTTCAGTATCTATATCTGTTGCTTTTCATTAATTTCCTGTATTTTCCTCCTAAGTTTTTTCCTTCTACCTTTAACTATTCTTTGCAATTTATTTTTTCCTGCATGGATCTGCTTTTGGGCAGCAGCAGCCCATGTGTCTGATATGGTATCAGTGTGTGATTCCTTCAAAGTGAGCAAGGAAAGGAATTTGCTCTCCTGGTTTTAACACAGCAGAAAGCTTCACACTGATTCTGTCCTGCCTCAGTTCCTCTGTACTAATTGTGCATTTCCCAGCCTTCCTTGCTGGAATAACAATAATTTCATGTAGCTAAATGAAAGCAGAGCTCTGTGCAGGTGGTTTAGGCCCCAGCACCTCTCTGCAGTGAGTCAGGACAGCCTTCTCTGAGCTGAGATGAACAGCCAGAAAGAACCCTGAGACTTGTAGAAGCTGTAAAATATTTTTCCTGCTGTAATTGGTTAAGGAGCTAAGACTTTCCAGGGAATTGTGCCTGAAGTGAACTGGGGGACAAGGGACCCTGTCTGCTCCTTGATCTTGTATTCAGTCCCTTTCCCCCCTTTGTTTGCAGCTTCACAGCATTAAATGCAAGTAAGGAGAAGAAGAAGAAGAAATACTCTGGAGCTCTCAGTGTCAAGGAGATGCTGAAGAAGTTCCAGAAGGAGAAGGATGCTCAGAAGAAGAAAGACGAAGAGCAGAAAGCGGTGCCCCCTTCCCCTGCAGACCCTGCAGGCCCAAGGGAGGCAGAGGCCATGGCTGACCCCCTGCTGTCCCTCTTTGGGCACACCAGTGACAGTGACCTGCTGCAGGCAGCCTCAGCCATGGACTCCCTGAGCGAGCTGGACCTGGAGCGGCTGCTCAGCGAGTCCCCCGAGGGCAGCCCCTGCCCCGAGCTGGAGGATGGCAGCGACCCTGCCTTGGAGCAGGAGTTCAAGCAGCCCCCATCGCTCCCCGAGGGGCTGCCTGCCCCCCTGGAGAAAAGGATCAAGGAACTGGCTCAGGTACAGCAGCTCCTGGGGACACTGGGGCTGGTGGGGGCACAGCTCTGCTGGGAGGGTGACAGGAGCGTGTGACAGGAATGGGGGTGTGTGTGTGTGGCAGGAGGGTGTGTGTGTGTGTGTGTGACACAGGAGTGGGTGTGTGTGTGACAGGAGGGTGTGGGTGTGACAGGAGGGTGTGGGTGTGACACAGGAGTGGGTGTGTGTGTGACTGGGTGTGTGACAGGAGGGCACAGCTGTGGGTGTGACAGGAGGGTGTCTGTGGGTGTGTGTGTGACAGGAGGGCACAGCTCTGCTGG